GCGCTTACCACGATGGGCCTGGCGCAACGCCAGGGCCGCGCATGCTCGCTAACGCCAGCTCATCGGAACCGCCGTTACATTCAGCCTTGAAAAAGTTGTTTTTGGACGTGTTTTCGGGTAGGCTACACCCGGTGACATCGGCAGCCATTAGCCTTGGCCTTGACTGTTTTGAGCCTTTTGATCTGGATGGAAACACCGCGCATGACATACTGGACAACGAAGTCTTTGAAGCTCTTCTCAGACCATGTTGGTCAGGAATCGTGGTGTTGATCATGCTTGCCCCGCCTTGCAAGGAATATTCCAGACTCAAACTACGCCCAGGCGGACCCAAAGCCTTGAGGACGCCGCAATACATGAACGGAGTCCCCGGCCTTTCGCCGTCGCAACGCAAAAAAACTGCTGGATAGCAAAACTATTCACGAGCGCGGCAGAGCCTTGTTCAGAGCAGTAGTCTCCAAAGGAGGCTGCGCGACCAATGCGACTTGGTGTGGGTCGACGCCTGCAGGCGCAATAAAGCCTTCTCCAAGTCATGGGCTTTCGGCTGCAACAGCGCTAAAATCCAGGCCCTGGAAGCCCGTTGCAATCACTCACACAAGCATCAAAGCGTTGCAGGCGTAACGGAGCAAGGGGTATACCTCAGCACTCTGACGGCAGAATACCCACCTTCCCTGGCCTTGCAACTTGCCCAGGTAGGCATAGGAAGGGTCAGCAAAACACTGCCACTTCACTCCAAAATACCCATTCTCCCAACCTGCGACGGAGACTGGTGTCATCCAAAGCCAGAACACCCTCTGCAAGCAGTGGCAAGGCCCTGGCTGCGTTGGATGCATGAGCGAAAATTGGTGCCGCGAATCGTGGCGCACGTCAAGAATGGCTCGCCGGACTGCCCTCTCACGCCGTCCAAAAGCCTGGAAGTGGCAAACATGGCTTACACAGCTCTGCAATTGCCCTGCCCTCCAGATATGAGCCCCGAGACAGGACAGCCTTACAGACTCCATTTGCTGCAAGCCTTAGCCAACTCTTGGGGTGACCCAGACTCAAAGCACTGCTGGGAAGCAAACGGGTACCCCGTAAAACACTCGAGCAGTGGATAGGCCTGCTCATTTGGGCCACCAGCATTGCATTGCATCTCAGATCTTGGTTAGCGCCGCTGTGCTCTGATCTCAACAGCCCACCGGGCTTGATGCACTCAATCGCCGCAAATGTGGTCAGCCTTCAGAGCCTCCTTGAACAAGGACCTCAAAACCAGCCATAGCCTTCCCAGCCTGTGAAATTTCAGGCCGCCCAGCAAACCCACGTGGGTACGTATCGCGGATCCGAATAACCCCTATACTGGCCTTTCCAAGTCGAGCCAGCAATGCTCAGCCCTTGGCACGGCCACACCAGCTGCAAGCGCTGGCAGCTGCGGATGCCTGTGCCGAAGACGACTTGGTAGGTATTGGGGGCTGGGCAATCACTTCATGACAAGTGGTTTGGTTTGCCGAAACCTGGAACATGCAGGACATACGGGCAGTATGGCCTTGCCTTGTCAAGCCTGGACAGCGGTACATCGCATGCTTCGAAACGCTGGCGCAGTTGGCACTGTTGCAAGCCACCCATAGCCATATTGGTGGTGGGCGCTACTCGTTCAGCATGCCTTCAGGCACTGATAATTCGGCAACGGAAGCAAGCCTTAACAAGTTGTTCACGACTTCCTGGCCGTTGCAACTTTTCGTGCAGCTAACAGCCTTCTGGGCTCATGCACGCAACGTGTTGCTGCAGCCAACACATGTTCCGGGAAGGAACAATGATTGGGCAGACGACCTAAGCAGAGGTCGGTTGGCCCAATTCAGCCATCGCCCTGAGAGTCGCGTACGCTTCAGCCCTGCAGGCCTTGCACTACCAGGCAGAGGCATCCAGCTGTTTCCGATTGATGCGCCCTGGCGCCCGGAACATCTGGCAGCTGCCGCCAGCAGCGTGTAGCCGAGCCTTAACGCATCCCAACAGCATTGCGACCCGACATCGCCCTGGCAACAGAATATCTGGCTGCATCAGTCAGCAGCTTGACAGCAAGCCGCTTTGACCAAAAAGAGCGGTCCCTGAGCAACAAGATGCTCGCGACCAAGAGAGTGCAATGTCATGCGACGCTTGCCCTGCCAGGTACAACCCCACTCTGAAGGGGGGGTGATGAGGCCGACGGCCCAGCTGGCTCGCTTATACCGGGGTTGCCTGAAACACTGAAGGGGGGGTCAACGCACCTCCTGCTCCAGGCGCATCCGTGCCCTGGAAGCAGTGCTACTTTCAGCAATCCCGGTTAAAAGAACTGCGGCTGCTTCGGACTTGCTTTGTTCTTTTGGGTGGTCTGGTTTGGGTGCAAGATAGGAGCAGTGCAACATGCCTTAACGCTTAGGGTTTTTGTTTTCCCTTGTGTTTAGGGCATGTTGTGAATCTACTTCCGTGGTGGCCGTTTTGCTCCTAGCCTTGACCCAAACTTGATTTGTTTCTTTTGAAACCCACCCACCCACCCTGCACTGCCTTGTGCAAGGCTCTGCAAAGGGAAGTTGCAGACGCTCTGCACTTCCGTTCATGGTCTCCGGACCTCCCGGTCTCCGGACCGCCCACGGCCTCAGGACCATTAGGTCTCCGGACCGGCGTGGGCACGCCTGCCACGCCTTGCGCGCACTGCACGCACTTGCAAGGACACGCGTTGTCTTGCCTTTTAAGTTTCACGGGGGGTCAACGCACCTCCTGCTCCAGGCGCATCCGTGCCCTGGAAGCAGTGCTACTTTCAGCAATCCCGGTTAAAAGAACTGCGGCCGCTTCGGACTTGCTTTGTTCTTTTGGGTGGTTTGGTTTGGGTTCAAGATAGGAGCAGTGCAACATGCCTTAACCCACATGAACAGACTTATGTCACGCAAGGCCTGAACCTGCACCGCTGCTACTTGAGGTAAGACCCGGCTTCCTGCGCTCCCTGGCGCGCCTAGCGGGGCGCGACGTGGACAGGCACTTCAACTTCACGCGCCTTCTGCCGGGCGCGCTGAAAGGCACTGCCGGGCGCCTGCGCGTACGCCTTGCTGCGCAACGGCTTCTTAAGAAAGTGGGGCTCGCGCAGCAGCAGCGCCGCGATCGCATCGGACGTATGGAAAACAGGTGTTTGGGTTATTGTAAAACATGAACTACTGTAACTCTAATTTAGACGAGTTTGTGATGTTGTGCAGGTCCCTTGCAGATACTTGCAAATCCGGCTGCCGCTGTGCAGCTTCTTTCCTTGACTGTAGGCGACTTGGAAAAACTAGCGTCAGAAGTAGTGTCAAAGACATCGCCGGCTCGTCTTTTAAAACTTTCGTTTTTTGCTGATGTGGTGAACCGTGATGGTGTCGGTTAAGAGCTCGCTCTTTATGAGTTTTGTTCGACCTTGATCGCCTGGTTAAAGCTTTCGTTTTTTCGGTTAAGCATTTTTGTTTTGGTTTTTTGGCCGTCGTGCGGAAAGGCTGTTGCCTTTGTGTGTGTTGTTGGTTTGTGTTGTTTTGCAGTTGGTTTTGTGTCTTTCCGCAACATTTTTTTGTTTTTATTTTTGTGTTTTTTTTGTTTGTTTTCTGTCCGCTAAAACAGCGGACCTGTGTGATCGCAAATGGCCACATGGAACACAAAGTTTTAAACTTAAATCTCTCCTTAAAGATGTCAGTGCTCGTTTCATTTCTGGCTCATTGTTTTTGTTTTTAATTTCGTAGCAAATCAGCACCTTTGAATTATTGCTTTGCCATCTTTCAGTAGGTTCTGCTTTTCCGCTACCTCGAACTCCTTTGATAACTGCATTTTATAGCCGCAGTTCCAAGTTCCAGCGAACTTGCGTCTACCGCAAAAGAGCTTTGTCCCAGCGTTCAACACGAGCAAGATGAAGGTTCAAACAAGTCCGACATGTCCGTGGAAATGGCCTTAAGCAGCTCATCGCTTGTGTAGGTCTGATAAGCTGGCGATGCTTTGGTGTGTCCACTGTTGTCTTTGTCGATTTCTATTCGAATCTCTGCTTGTTTTTTCCAGTCGCAGTATTGCAACTTCATTGTGTCGCTCACTGAATAGTTTTGCCGAATGGAATCCGGATCATGAAGCAAGTGACTTAGGCAGGTATGAAGGTGACCAACATGCATTGTTAAATGACCGCGGTATGGTGCACCTGGCCTTCGTCTGGTGGTCGCACCCATGTGCTTGCATACAATTTTGTGACTGTGCGGCGTTTCGCACTTCGTATCATATTATATCATATCATATCATGAATCTTAGGTGTTTGTTTGCAATTTGACACATGCCACATATTGGTTCAGGTTGTAAGCATTCGGGCCCGTGCAACTTAAACAAGAATAGAAAGGTGTGAATCGGTAGGGACACCTTCCAAGTTGTGCTACTCAGCTGCCACTCTACGTTTCCGATCGGATTCACAAGTAATGTTGTTGTTCGCAGCTTGAGTTTCTTTCCAAAATTGTGTGTTTGTGACGGCAGACATGTCGTGAGGGGTGGAATATTGATGCTGAAGCACGTGACCCACGAAATCCAGGCCACTGCGCTTCGGGGAACATGTTTCGCCAAGGCGCAAGCAGAAACTTGTGTTGAAGCACCGTACGTTTTGCACCAATAAAGACATCTAGGAAATTGCGCGTTCCGATGTTTTGTAGTATATTTGTATTTGTGTCCATCTAAGACCGCATGTAGACATTGAACATCTTTGCGCGTGATGAAGTTCCTTCAACCATTTGTCGGGAATATTGTCACAACCCATGTCTTTCACATAGCCTGGGATGCAACACATGGTGGCTTTGAGGGATCTAAAGGAGAAGGCATTGGTTCACGTTGCCGCATTTCGTACCGTGCAAATGTTGCAAAAGACTTTGTGGCAATCAACTAGCATTTTTGTGCTGGCGTGGTATGTGATAAGTGCACTTGCGTCCCTTTGATTGCCTGAGGTTTGGGTTGGCATATTTGCAGGGCAATATTTTGGCTCCCAATGGCACACACACAAAGACACACTCACGCGCAACTCGTTCGATTGTTTTAGTTGGACTCTTGGTTGGAACGATGTTTGCCCGTGCTTTCACATGGCGTCTTTCGAGTGCCGCCTGCAGGCCGGCTTTTGAAAGCGTATCTGGCTTTTTTCTTGGTTCGCGCCTGGGCTGGGCTGGGCTGGAGCGGTATGTTGTCCATGTCAGGGCCTTCGCTGATGCGCGGGCAAATGCCTTGGCCGCAGCTTCCCGAAACCGGAGCCGTTTGAAGCAATCGAGGCGCGTTGAGGGTGCGGCGAGGGAATGCGGGACCAAACTCGATGTTCGAAATCCAGCCGCTTGGTATTTTGTTCGTTTTGGAATTGTGGCGTGTGCTTTGGGCCGCCAGATAGGATGAAACAGTGGGCATGATTGGAAGTGATGTGCCAACCTGACAATAATTTAATTGCATTCGCCCCTACGATATGGCTGCCCGTGAGCAAAACTAGTTCATGCACCCACACGCTTGTTTCATGATAGCAGGTTTTCAATTGTAGAATTTCTTTTGTGACACTTTGACCAGTAATTGCAAACACACACACACACAAAACACCGCCAGTATTTCGCACTGAGCGGCGGGGTGCATTCTTTTCGGATCCACTTTGTGGATGCGGATCCGTAGAGGTCGCGTGATTTGGTCGGAGCCCAGGCGTTTGTTGGGCATAGACCCGCCGGATGTGCCTGCGGCTGCTCCCTGGCCAGACAGTGCGGGGGAAGCGCCCGGGAGATGTCCGAACCCCCCCAAAGTAATGCCATGCCGACTGGAGGGAGTGGCACCCCTTCGGGTGTGAAGATGCAATTTATCGAGCAAGCATTTGTGCCATGGCCCCAAAGAGCTGGCGTTGGTTGCAAGTTTGGCTGATTTGGCATGCTAGAATGCCCGCCATTTCTTGGAACCCGAGGTTGCCAGAATGCGAGAGAAAGTCTGGAATGCAAGTGGAAGTTTGTTTGATTGGACGACCCCCACACTCAGTAAGAAAGTGAAGTTCAATCGGGTGCATGATTGGCAGAGAGAGCGTTTGTTTGTTTGTGGTTGGCATTCTCCTTAGTCGCAGGCAGAACTTGGATTGTTCTGTGCCAGCTCCCTGGTGATAGCCTTTGTTCGCTCAGTCAATTGAAGGAGGAAGGGCTTTGGCCGGTTTCGATTCAATTTGTCATGGGAAAACACAATTCTGCTGGCATAGCGGACAACCATTTGTCGTGGTGTATATGCAGAAGTCCGAACAGAAGTCACTCCGTCACTTGGGCGACTGTTCGCCGTGTTTGGTGACTTGAACACTTTCACATTCCGACTCTGGTAGCGTGAGGTACAGATGACCGTAATGCAATGGAGCCCAAACCAAGCCATGGTCAGGAGAGGTTCGTAGGCGTATAAAAGAGGCACTGCTCATTTGATGCCTCACAGGGTTCGGATTACAATTATAACTGACTCCGATACGGGACTTGGTTAAATGCCATCTTTGGTGTGTCGTTTTTTGGCACACTGACATCAGCCATTCTGCCTTGTCAACTGAATGTTGAGACGCTTGGCTGCGCTTGTGTTCTGTTTGTTTCTCAACACGTCGGACTTTAGTCGTTTTGCTTTTCAAACACAACACCTCTATGAAACCCTTGTATGAGTCCTATTGTGTCTGTCTATTCTTAGACAAAACAGGCTATGAACCTGAGGAACAAATCAGCTGCAGCGACCCAGAGCAGCAGACCGCCCTCAAGGAGATCTTTGCGGCTCTCAGGACCCCTTCGAGAACAGCAACGTGTGCCCGTGGATTTTGGTTGGTTGCTTGAATTGAAGACCCAACAGAACACTGCCCATTGTTGGGATCATCCAGTTTTGACACACGGGGAGTGTCTCTTAAAAACTGGGTGCGGTACCCTTGTTGGAAGGGATGCCAGAGGAAAGCATACACTCACACACTTTGCCTTTTCTTGGGCTCTCATTTTGAGACCTGGCTGTGGTCTTTGCCCTTGCTACGTGCTGTGGCTAGGACCAGAGATTGGGAGGCTGGGGTCGCGGCTTATGGCCGCTTTTCCGACCCTGAGCCCAATGCGACCTGGCGTCAAGAACCGCTTCACGGGAGAGGGCCTTTGTTTGGTTGCCGGCTTTGGGGTGTCGGAGGAGGTACATGTGTTGTTCATGTTTTCGTTTTTTGTTTTTGTTTGTTTTTGGCAGGGAACTATGCCGGTTCTCAGGTTGCTTGATTGGCAGTTCCGAATCAAAAACAAAGCTGGAAGAGGAAGGCGGTGCGCCGATTTCGATATTCCGCCCAGTTGGCCTTGGCTGCGGTGATTCTGGCTGAGCGCTGTGGCAAGACCACCGAGGCACCCGCGACCTCCGGAAGTTCCGTCAAAAAAATCGGAATTCGGAATTCAGGGCAGGATTTTGTTTTTGTTGGGGGGGGCAGGCCTTCGACCTCTATGTCGACCTGCGGCGGCGTAAGGAGCTTACGGCAGCTTGGCACGTGAGCTTGCGGCAAGGGTTTCTCGGAGACTCTTCAGGGGCTGGCATCCCATCAGACTTGGGGGCTTTTTTCCAAGAGTGGTGCCACCTGGGTGTCAGCTCGAGTTGCCTGGGAAGGCATCTTGGCTTTGCTGGTCCGCCCTTGGGTTTGCGTGAATATTGCAGCTTTCAGCAGGATGCAAGATTCCAAGATTACAATCTGGATTAAATCCAAAGGTCAATTGAAGGAGGCCACATCATGAAAAAGGTTCACATGAGCCAAGAGTGTTCAATTGTAAATCATTGAGGTGAGGGGATCTGCTGGCCGATCACATCTCTTAGACATTTCCAAGTATCGCAACAAGCACATCCATATGTCGAAGATAATATCCTTTTGGATTTTCGCGACCTCGATTCAGGAGATATCGGAAGATTGAACATAGCTGTTAGAGCTTGAATGGGCAGCCCACAGGACATCCTCGCTATTTCAAGAGTTGGACAAACTGGCGAGCCCTTGTTTGTTTCTCGGCAAGGTAGCACATGTCACCGGAATGGGTCCCTCAATAGCCGAAACCTTTGTTGGTTTTCATAAAACAAGAAGCTCGAACATGGTTGTGCCTTTCCCCTTTAAGCAATGCTGAGCCCATATCAACCAACCTTAGTTTATTCAATAGGGGGGGGTGTCCCCGGGTTTACTGGTTGGAATCAGATTCCACTTTTGTAGGGGTTGCCAGCCCCCTTTGTTGAGGCCACACCCATAGAGCCGAGCCGAAGCCCAGGCTCGGGTCTTCACCCACCTCATCCGTTTGGCTGGCAAAGTGCACACAGTGCTGGCGCAAGCCATGCGGCCTGGCCGATGCATTTTTTGAAAGCGCCCGTTGGAACCAAAGAGAAAGCCATCATTTGGGATCGGAACCCGCTATGTTTTGAGACGCACCATTTGAGAATCGCCCGTGCGGGACAATGGGCACCCCAAACCTTTTGGTGACCTTTCCGTTTGTTGAAGACTTGGGGCTGCTCAGAGTTCCAGTCTGGGCACCTTCCACAGCGACACGCAAAATTGACACGATGTTGGCACAACCTGAGCCCCAAGTTACTAGCGCTTTGTTGTTTGGGGCAGTGGTTCGCCGGGGCCACATGGCCTGCCGGAACGCAGCCATTATGCGGCAGAAAGCCCCTGTGCGTTTGAATAGCGCGCAGGTTAAAAATTGAAGGACCCCGTGAACATCCTGCTTGGAATGTATGTGCGCCAACCATTCTTGATGGGTTCCGGTGTAAGGTTCAAGGAAGGTCCGGCGGTTCCAGGTGGTCTGGTGCAGGCCAGGTGAAAGGTTTGGGCAAGGTTCCAAAAATCCGGGTCGTGAGGATCTGGAGGTTGCGGGGTGGTCCGGGGCAAGGTTTCGTGAGGGTTCCGCTTCTGTGGGGGATGCGTCCCACATGCGGGAGGTTTCCGCAAGGCGGGCTGAGGCCGCAGCATTCGTTTGCAGAATTGGGGGGCTCTCTCACGAATTCGTTTGAGGCTGGCAGAAATGAAGGTCTGCAAGCTGCAGCCCAACCAGCAGAACTATTTAGCGTTGCTGGAGCCTGGCTTTTGAATTGGGGGGGTGCCGGGTGAAACTGGGGGGGGGGGCGTGGAGATTGAGCTGTCTTACGGTTATGTCTTGCACTGCTCGGGTGGGGGGGCCCGGGGGGGGGGGCGGGTTGGGGGGGGAAACAGGCGCATAGCCTTTCGGAGGCAATTCGGGGTAATTCTGCAAAGAGAAGCTTCGGGTCAGCTGCTGTAGCTGCAGCTCCAACTTGAACAGGCTGTGTATTCAGACCTTTTTTTATCAGGGAAGACAAGACCAACCTTCAAACTCTGCCCGAGCCTAATTTCCGTGCAGATGGGGTGGGCGACTCGCTTTTATATTTGCTTCACTGCAAACTTCTTGAGACGATGCCTTTGGCTGATGACCAATTCGCTCGGCCGGCAGTTGAGAGTTGGGTGTTTTTCATAAAGCGGAGCCCAGTTTTTCAGGCTCTAGAGTTGGAAATCCATCACCAAGGACCCGTTGTTCATGTTGAGGCTTCTTCAGAAAGAGGATGCCCTCTCTTTCCCCCCCTCCCTTTTATCACCAATCCCTTTGAAAGGCCAAAGAAACCTTTGAGCACCCCCAACCCGACCTTCGGCCACAGGTCCTGTTCGGGCCCGATCTCCCCAAACGAAAAAATCGATCGCCGGACGCTCTCGGTCCGCAAAAACCGATGGCTGGGATCGCGGTTGAGTGGTGAGGAGCTGTTCAAGCAGCGGCGGGACGCCAAGGCGGCGCGGGAGACCTGGCAGCAGATGCGCCAGGACATCGGGGAAGCCTCGGAGGCGGGAGAGAGCTGGCCTCCCCCCAAGTGGTGGGTTAAAGGAAAACAACCACATTTTCTGTCTTTGATAGCCACCAGAAACCGTCAAAATAACGACCCCAGGAGGGTCCAGCCAGCTCTGGGGTGGCATTCCAACCCACGGGTTTAGCAACGACCCGTTTCAATTTGTGCCGAAAGTGCGGTTGAACAACCAGCCCTCTATCTACTTTTTTTGGCGTCTACTTGTACTTGGTGAAAGCAAAGGAGATTGTGCAATCAAGTTGAAATATGTTCCTTTCAAAAACCGGACCTTCTCCTGAGGTTTCTGGAACGAAGGTTCAGGATGAGAAAGTTATCACCTGTGGTGGGGAAGGAAAACCTCGGCGGCAGGAGAGGTCTGGTTGTGGATGTTTTTTTTCTGTATTTTCCTTGCCAAGAGTCAGGAAGTCTCCTTCCTGGGTTTCATTGTCCGCTTGCAACGGGGGAGTAAATGTGGAACCATACACTTGAAGGGGACAAGCTGGGTCGAAGGAGCACCAATATTCAGACAGTGAGCCCCTGACAAGTTGAATCTGTTAGCGCTTCTCGGACTTGCACTGGCGGATTTCGTGAGTTTTCTGCGAAATGCTGATGGGCCTTTAGTTTCCCCCCACAATGGCAAAGGGGGCACCGAAAGATGCCCAGAAACGGTTTGCAAGATCCGAAATGGGCGAAACCAACACGTGCAATGAAGGCTTCCAGCTGAACGTTGCGGGCATTGCGATAATGTGGCAGTCTATATGATCTGCAGGAATCTAGTTTAGCCAAGATGATCGGTTTGTGTAGGAACTTTCGGGACACCGCAAACTGTACAGGGCTGATGAAGGGGCCGAGTTGGCTGATCAGTGCGAGCGACACAAGTCCAGCCCTGCAGTTATGATTATCCAGTGTGGCATTTGCATGGCACCTCGTTCACCATGGAACTTGTGGTTCATGACTTTCTCGCCAGATGACGCTGTGCAGCGTGATGTCTGCCGTGGCAAAGTCTGGGGACGTAGCCGGCACAGAGGCGCAAATTCTGAGAGAAGCGCACTGTCTGAGCAGCGACGCTGCTTTTGAGAGTGCTTGAATGGTCGCGCATTACACCATGAGTTGCCGCGGAGCTAGAATCACAGGTGATAGATTCATTTGCATGGAGAATCTTGGTATGTGGGACGGGGGCGGTGAAGAGCGACCCGAGAAGGGGCAATGCCACCCTAACAAACAAAATAGCAACCAACTAATTCATTGCGATTTGGTTTCTTTGCCCGTTTTCTCCTGGCATCAGGCCCTGCTGTTGGAGGGCAACAAAATCGGGCGGCCGCACTTCAACTGCTGCCTGGATGCCTGCCATGTAGCAGGCGCAGGATAGTGACTGGTTCGACTTGCCTCGCTTGTGGAGTTTGCTTTTTTGATTGGGTGCGAATGTAATTGGGGACCCTTTGATGTTCATCATGGTGGGGACTGCCCACCAACCACTTTGCAAGTTCCCTATTCAATTCATTTCCAAATGGCTTGCTGGGCCTGTTTGGAAGGAGATGCTTCATATCATTTCTTGAGCAGCGCACGAAGAGGAAGGGTCGGCTTTGGCAAACAACATGGTTCCGGCCTTGCTTGAAGGCTTGGTTTGAGTTGCGCACATCTTCAGATCGGTTTTTCTTTGCCTTAGGGCGATTTGGATCACATTCCGGCGAGAGTAGGTTCTCAGGGATCGGCTTCCAGCCTTTCTGCAGGCGATGCTGACAACGCCTTCCGCCGCTCGGCGTGGGAAGGTTTGCGTGTCAAGTTGGGTTCTCGAATTGGCGCTCCCTTTGGTTGGTAGAAGGGAACACCAAAGGAAGCCAATATTTTCTGGTAGCACTTTGAGAACCCCCAAGAGGGAAAACCCGCCAGGCCGTTTTGGGGAGTTGAGCTGTTGGCCGGCCTGAGATGCTCCAGCTCTTTGGGATTTCATCATGCTTTTTTGCGCACGGGCAAAACGTCTGCTTCGGGCATGTTGGCACTTGACGCCTCTCCCAATGGGCCCAATGAGCGCTCGAGGCATTTTGGGGGAGATGAAGGCAGCGGGGTGCCCGCCGGACGTGATCTCCTACAACTCGGTGCTGGGGGCGCTGGACAAAGCTGGCCGGCCTTCTGCGGATCGGGCTGCTCGCTTGCGAAGAGACGGTCTGACATGCGTCCTACAGGCAGCTCCGGTTTTGGGCGAGTCCTTGGAAATTTCTGCACATCCTCCGAAAAGCTCGGCTGGCTTGTCAAGAGTGAGTGATCGGAGGCTGGCATCCTTGGCCAAAGACTCCCTCTTCAACTTCCATTTCCACCTCTTTTGTCACCGCTTGCTTGTATCCTCTTGCGTTCCCTCCGAGGTGCGGTTGTTGGAAGACATGGAACGGTCGGGGGTGAAGCCCAACAACCTCTTCCTCGAGCGTCACATCGCTTGCATCCTGGGCATTCCACAGAAGGCAGATGGGGGATGGCGGATGGACTGATGCTGACATTGGTTCCTGAGGTTTCTTTCCTTTTTTCCTTCATTTTCTGCTTGTTTCTTCCTTTCGCTGTTTTCTCATAGGACTATTTTTTCCAACTTTTTGACTTCTGCACTCCGGGCCTGCCAAATGAAGGAAACCATCCGCCCAAGCGCACATGGCACGCGCTGTTTTTTAAGCATGGACAAAATATTTGCCGGGCATCACATCGAAGGTGCACGTTGAATGAACTTTGCTTTGCTGCGCATGTTGCCGACCACCTCCACCACAAGAATACGGCAGCCAACCCCCTACTGCAACATAAGCTTTGCTTGTGCTGGCTTTTGGGCTGTCAAGCCGATCTGGTCCGTTCATGTGGCCATGCCCGAAGAAGGCACGGCCTTCTTGGTGGATTACTGGGCTGAAAATAGCTCTAAAGAAAGTGTCTGGAAGGGCTTCCAGAGGGTGTCTACACAATTGACAAGTGAACAGTCCCCTGCCTTGCAGGGTTGGGACGCTTTGCCGTGGCACATGTTTCGTGATAGCTTGCTGGGTGAACATTCAACAATGTGCCTTGCAGCCTCGCAGAACCTCGTTGTGCCAGGGTTCCTTTACTTCTCTCCCAATTGTAAGCGGAGAAGGCACACTGATGCTCTGTCACAAGACTCGCCTCATTCTCTCTTGATCCGACCCCCCTTCGCTCCCTCCCCCCGCGTTCTTGGTCGGGGCCCTGGCATGGCAAAGTCTGCGCCAGGGAGCAGCAGTTCGAGAAGTGCTGCAGCTACCGTCTGAGGCCGGGTTTGCACCGGCAGAGGCAAGGGCAACGGCCCCAGACGTGTCGCTGTCAAGCTGTCAATCACTTGTTTGACACGGAGTCGCTACAAGCGTGTGGCTACCAGATGCGTGTTTCTTTGTTTGCACGTCGGCGAAACAGCGAGAAAACACCGGGGCAGGTGGGGATGCGTGGCCCAAAGAGACACAGGCCTTTGAGGTTCGTGGGCTGGCCTATTAGCTCTGGTTGTGGATCTTGGACATTTGATGATTTGCAAGCTTGGTAAGTTGAATCACGACCATACTGTGAAGTTTCCACGTGGAGCTTGTGAGTCCAAGTTACCAAAACACAGAACAAGCAACCCAAGCAGAACTTTTGTGACACAGCCATGAGGCGTGGGTAGCCGGACCAGCTCTGCAGGGGTCTGAGCGAGAGCCTCTCTGCGAGAGGTGCGCGTGGAAGCGCTGGAGACGATTAGGAAGGCAGAGGCCGACGGGGTGGAGCCGACGCTGCTTACCCAGAAAGTGACGCCTGGCATGGACCAGGGGAAGAGGGACATGTGCCGAAGATGCGGATGCTTTTGGTTGGTTCAGGAGGCAAAGGGAATCCGAAGAGTCCATTTGGTACTCAGGTGGAACAGGGGAAGGGTGCGAAGGGGTCCGGGAGCGGCGAGCGAGGTGGAGTACCGGGCCTGTGGCCATCTGATGTCGCGCGGTTGAAGAGCGGGACGGCATTTCACATGAACTGACAAGATGACTTGACTACTTTTTCTTTGGGGAGGTGCCCCAAATTCCCAACAGAAACCCAGGGGGACGACCCAATTTTCCTATATGCCTGAGGAAACAATGATAATGGTCCTCGCGTTTGCTGCTCTGAGCACGTGCGTGTTATGTCTTACGTTTCCTGCGCCTTGGCCTCCTTCGTGCCTCTGAGCTATGTCGCCTTTCATTTCTGGATTTGGGACTGCCACTTCCGGGCGTTGCCTGCAAACTGGGGGACTTCCCCAGGCCTTGGCGCATGCCCAGGGCACACTGGCTCACCCTTTGCTCTTGACCTCTCCGCGGCCTGTCGGACTTCAAGTGTGGCACCAGCGCGTTGTACTCCTATCTTGCCCATCCCGGAGCTAGCCTTCAAGGAGTCCAGGCTCCTTTTGGGCATGTGCGGCTTACGGCTTTCGGCTTTCGGCCCGGTACCGCTCCCTTTTCTCCATCTGCGACTTCGGTTTCGGGCGCCGGCGCCTCACCTTTCTTTGAAGCGGATGCCAGCGCCCCGCTTGTGCCCCAGCTGGCAGCGGCGCTGTACAAGCGCCTCACCCCGAAGGCCAAGGTCATTTTGGCGTAGCGAGAGCCTGAGAAGGCCGCGTGGTCCATATGCGTGTTCCGGAGCCGCGTCAAGGGAATTTCAGTCGGCTTCAGCTTCAAGCAAATGTATGACGTGGAGGAGACGGCTCGAAGCCGGTGTGCACCCCCTGGCGGGAAGTGTGCTGAAGCCATGCCGAGATGTTGCTTCGGCTCGGAGTCAACGACCTGGTGACAGACACTGAGGCTGCGGGTCTTCCACTTTCTTGGCCTGGACCAAGTCCCGTCCCGCCGCAGAGTGTGCAGCTGGAGGTGATGGAGCTGTCGATGGCCTCGGAGAAGAAGACCGAGGCTCCGTCGCCGCGGGAGGCGGAGATGCTGAGGGCCTACTTTGCCCATCCTCGCCGTGACTTGGAGCAACTCCACGGGGCGCGGGTCTGGTAGAGCGAGCAAAAAGTCGTGCCGGGTCCAGCAATTCCCCCCCTTTTCACTGGCCAGATGATGCCTTTGCTGAGGAAGCAGGTTATTGAAACGGAGCACCTGGCGAAGGAGAACGACTGGGTGAAGGTGGTGGGAAAGGATGGTGTCACTCGAACAAACATTCTTGGGCGTGGGAGCATTGCTTGTGCGTGTCAGGTGTTTGTTTGATTAGTTGTTTTGTCTTGGGTGGCTCCCCTCGAGTTTTGGCGTGGAAGATGCTTTTCTGAACAGCATTTGTTTGATGCTTTGTTACCAGGCGTGATCAGACCATCTTCCGGGATGTATCAATATATGCAGGTCAGAGCAATTTGATAGATTCAACATCAAAACCCTATGACTCTGGTTGAGGGAGTCATCACTTGATGAGGCGCCGCCCGCTTCATTCTGAGCACATGTTACATAAATGCTAGGTAGATGCATATACATACATACATACATACATACATACATACATACATACATACATACATACATACATACATACATACATACATACATACATACATACATACGTACCTACATACATACATACATACATACATACATAAATACATACATACATACATACATACATACATACATACATACATACATACATACATACATACATACATACATACATATACATTGCAGTACATTGCAGTACATTATATTGCATTACATTACATTACCTTACCTTACATTACATTACATTACATTACATTACACTACACTACATTACATTACATTACATTACTACACTACACTACATACATACATTACATTACATTACCTTACCTTACCTTTACATTACCCATACATACATACATACTACATACCATACATACATACATTACATACATACATACATACATACATACATACGTACGTACTACGTACATACATACATACATACATACATACATACATACATACATACATACATACATACATACACACACATACTACTACATACATACATACATACATACATACATACATACATACATACATACATACATACATGCATGCATACATACATACTTACATACATACATACATACATACATACATACATACGTACATACATACATACATACATACATACATACATACATACATACATACATACATACATACATACATCTATATGTATGTTATATTTATAAGCATGTTGCACTCACTGTAGTTCAGATTTGTTTGAACAGTTTCGTGCATGCCCCTTTCCCACAAGGTTTGATTCATGCTAAGGCTGGCTCTCCGTTAGAGCGCCTTGGCCGTTTGTGAGAGACGTGTGTGGCTGGGTGATGCGTCGGGGCAGTCGGCTGATGGTCAATGCCCAGAGCGGCTTGGGGCCAAAAGAAAGGGGTGACCCTGCCAAAGCCAATCAACAGCCTCAGAGTCTTGGAGGGCCATAGCTTTTTCAGCTTTGTTGTCGTTGTTTTGTTTTGTTTTTCAAGCGGTCGCTTGGGGTTTTCAGCTTTGCCGGCCGGGTTGTCGCCCTTTTCTTCTTTTTTGGGAGGGGAGACGGAATTGGCACGTGGGGGCTTGTCTGGTATAGGTTATGTGGGTGGAGCCTAAATTGGCCACCAGTCGAATGTTGATGGCACCAGAGGCACAACTACACCAACCACTACTTTACATCAACCAACCAACCAACCAACCGACCGACCGACGGAGAGACCAAAACAGCCTTTGTCAGACAAGCTGGGCCACCCCCAGCTGGCTGAAGCTGGCTGGAGACAGGCGGACCACGCGGGATGCGGCCCACTTTGGGCAAGTCTTCATAGCGTTTGGTGGTTTGGTGCTTTGGTGCTTTGGGGGTTCATTTTGGGGCTTGAACCTCGCTGTCTTGTAGAGGTCAACTGGTCGAAGGCAAGCTGGCCAAAGCATCTGGCCAGCTTTCACTTGGCCAGGATGTTCTGCTTTCTGGCAAGCAGCAAGATCAGGTACCGAATGTTCACTAAAGCTTTGGTTGCGAAGCGCCAGCCGCATCTGAAAACACTTTTCGATTGCGCCGCCTGGGATTTTAGCTTTCCCCCCAGGCCAGCTTGGGCCGTCAAGAGCTTTTTTTTTTTTTTTCTTTTCTGGAGGAAGCCCTGTTTGGGGTGGCAATGGAACCCATTTTTTCCGGGTGTTCCCCCGCCTTTTTTTTTTTTTTGGGGGGGGGGGCAAAAAGTGTTGGCCGAGGTACTACTGGGACCGCTCCAGCGGGCTGACCCAGTGGGAGCACCCGGACTGCCAGGTCATGGAGACGGTGAGCGCGTGATCCAGGCGGGGGGGATCTCAAGGTTGGTTTCCCGATGGTTTCCCTTTGAACGCCAACCAAAAAGAGAGCCCACGAGTGTGAGAAACTCCCACATGATCCACGCAGATGTGGGCAGCGTTTTTTTCTTGGAATCAAGGGTTTATACAAAAAGGGAACTGCATCATGTCCGCGTAGGCAATTTAGCTGGGGGGCGTAGGCGCGCGGAGGCATCGTGTAGGCATTTCGCGCACATCCTTGTGTTTGTTCTTGCGTAGGCGCGCGCGTAGGCACTTGATGGAGTTGGATGGGCATGGGTTTGGCTGAGTTGTTGCAGACACACTGAGAAAAGGGTTCTTGAACCAACAAGGCTTTTCGCGTAGGCGTTTGTTGAACAAATCATGCCTGTTTGCCACGTATGAAGGAATTTGCTTCTTTTGCTGTTTGTTCTGCAGTCTTCGCGTAGGCTCCGCGTAAGCCCCGCGTAGGCATTCGCGTAGGCTTTCAAGGCATCTTGGGTGCGTAGACCCTTTCTAGCAGCCAGATCCTTGGACAGGTGTTGGATTCTCACTTGTACTGCATATCTGATCTTAGAGCCGGAGCTGCCAAAATGCACTTGCACTGAAAAGTTGCGATTTTCCAGCTGGAGCTGCCACAGTGCACTTCGACACTTGAACTCAACGTTTGCCCGCGTAGGTAGGCGCCTGGAAGCTGACTTGTGATCGCGTAGGCACCCCTCGCAGGCCGCGTAGGCTTGCGTAGGCCTTGGCGTAGGCGCCAAGTAGTGTATAGGCTCTGAAACAACCAAAAAAACATTGCTCAAATGCTGATTCAGAGCCACGACAAAGGGGATCCCTGAGAAATCAAACATGTTTTCACGCTTTGGCGGCGCAATCATCTTCCACATCATCTGCTTTTTCTACATCATCTGCACCTGTGTCAGACAACGATTGACTTGGCATTGCAAAGCTCGAGCTGGAAAAAAGCTACGCGCGATTTTCTTGCGTAGGCGTCCGCGTAGGCGCGACAAGAGACAAACGTGCGCGCGTAGGCGCCCCTTGCAGTCGCGGAGGCGTTGCGTAGGCGCTCGCGTAGGCATGTGTGCAGTGTATAGGCCCCGAGCACCAACAAAAAAACACTACCCATGTGACTCTTCATGGTTGGATTACCTTCCCAAGTGGTTGGTGAACTGGTGAGCATTCAAAAAATCCATTAGATGATGGATTCAGAATGTGCCACGCGCTTGGGCTCAAAGAACTTAAGGCAGAGCCAGGCCCACCCGCATAAGATGTGCTGAATGTGACGCGCTTGGCCCGCAGGGAAATAGTTTTCTTTAGGACAATTGCGGTCCAGATTTCTGCAAAAGAGGCCAAGTCGGAGAGGTCAAGGTTTTGCCTTTTGTGAGCTTCGAAACGAGCCTAACATGAGTCTGGACAGCAAAACCGCAAGCAAAACCCGCGATGAAGGTTAGGGGCAGTCCCAATTTCAAACAGGCGCTTGCCAGGCGTGTTTTTTCCTCAATTTCTGAGGTGGTCTTGGGTAGCCCCCAGTTTTAGCATCATGGTGTGGCCCGTGCCAAGCGGCTTTCGGCTCGTTTCAAGAGTAGGACCCAGGGACAGGCCGACACTCTTAGGAACACTGTTGGTCTCTGGGGAATTTGCGGATACAACTTTGGAACGTTCCTTATTTCAGGGAATCCTTGTTTTCGGTGGAGCACTGCCATTTTTTGGATGAACACTCGTTGTTTGAGCTCATGTTTTTGGGTCCGCTCTTTTAACAGCGTGGCATGCAACGAGCGCAATCCACGGCTTCAGGGCCTTGGCTGAAGTCGGGTCGGAAGCGCGGCGTGAGCACGAAGTCTCCGAAAAGAGGACCTGGCGCCGCTAGGGGTTTGCGTCGTGCAGTCTCCCTTTTGCAGTTTTTGGGTTCCCTGGTTCCAATTGGTCGAATACATTTGGACATTCTGGAGAAGGCAGTTGATTTTTAGTTTGCTATTCGCAGAGTTTCACTTCAACTCCAGCACTGGCCTGGTCCCATTGTCAGCTGATGGGTTTTCAGGGTTCGAGGATTCGTTTGAACCCACAACCTGGTGCCAAATTCCTTGGTTTGAACTTACCAAAGTGTGGTTTGACCGGGTGCCACAAGTAAATTGCAACTTTTGGAGGGAAATCCAGGCCCCATCTTTGGGTAAGCAAACTTCTGGGCTAAGGCGATCAAGCAAGCCGCCAGAAGCTTGTGTTTTGTGGCTTGTCCTGGTTGGTTTCGTTTTTGCTCGGTACTTTGCTGGTTGGGACTGCTTGGAAGTGACGCCAGATTCAAACGGCAACTGGCCAGCGCTCAAAGGTGCAGCTTTCTTGTGACCTGATGTTACTTTCCGCACATTGTGTTGCGAGGCAGTTAGAAAGCATGCTGGCCACTTTTGAGGGAGTTCGTGGGATGTTGCCTTTCTTGCGGCTACGATTCCCATTTGTTCATTCGTCCCACTCTCTGGAAATAGGTCAGCCAGGGCAAGCTGAACCCCGGCGCGATTTGGACCGACTGGTGATTGGCCCCGCAGCCACAGAGCACGCATGAGGAAGCATGATGCCAAGCCAGTGAGGCCGCCGGGCGCGGCCATGCCAGCAGCCTCATCCTGACGGACAGAAGGTGCTTGTTTGTGTAAGCCCTGTTTGACAACTCGTTGACATGGGATCCGTGACAGCAAAGCAAAGCAAGCTGCTTGCGAACACCAGCGCGCGGAGCGATCACATGCCCGTCAAGCCGGAGCTCATCGGCCAGATCGAGCACGCCATTGCGCCCACCCGAGAAAAGGTTTGATTGCCCCATTCAAGGTGTGGCGGAACTGGAAACAGTCAGTCAGTCAGTCAGTCTGGCAGTTGCGAGAAGGCTCTATTTATGACTCAGGCGGCTTCTGGGATGATTGAAAGTGAGGGGAGCTCGATTCGATGGAAGTGGATGCTGAGGCCAAAGAAGCTGAGGACGACGGCTTGCAATGGCTGCGAGACGAGGAGTGGTCCTGACTTGCATGCACACACACACACACAGGCACATGTAGATGCACATGTACATTTGCAAGCAGAACTGCGTACATATTTTCGTGCATGTATTCACGTAGTATATGAAGACTGTATGATATAATGGTTTGATATGCTATGATAGGATGTGACACGATACGATGTGACAATATATGACAGGATGTGATCATGAGTATGTCTATGACCAATGATGGTTATGATTATGATTATGATTATGATTATGCTGATGATGATGATGATGATGATGATGATGATGATGATGTGTTCGAATTGATCTAATACAGACATGCTACTACTACTACTACTACTACCACTACTTCTACTACTTGAACTACTACTATTACTACTATCACTACTACTACTGTTGTCTACTACTAGCACGACTAATACTACCACCACTACTACTACTACTACTACTACTACTACTACTACTTCTAGTACTACTACTTCTAGTACTACTACTACTACTACTACTACTAATACTTCTACTGCTACTACTACTACCACTACTACTACTACCACCACCACCACCACTACCACGCCCACGACCACGACCACTACTACACCACTACCATTAGCACGACCACGACCACTACCACTACCACGACCGCGACCACTACTACATCACTAGCACTAGCACTGTCACTACAACTACCAATATCACTACAACTACCAATATCACTAGCACTACCACTAGCACTAGCACCAGCACTACCGCTCAATTGCGACTGCTGCTGCTGCTGCTGGTGCTGCTGCTGCTGCTGCTGCTGCGCGTACTCCTGCTAATCATAGTGACATAAGAACCCCAACGCAAAACTGATATTGATAGTGACACGAAACAATTACCGTAGTGATAACAATGATAATGATGCCAGATCTGATGACGCTTAGAATAGTGATATATACGTATTGTATCATGTCTACATGCTGTGGGGGCCGGGTCAGGGTGGGGGGTTTGCTGGTGCTGGTTTGCTTTGCCCGTGTAAACCATGTGGGGTTGCCGCCAGTGCCAGGACGATGGGAGCGGCGCGGAGAGGCTGGGATTCGTTTTCTTTTTTTTTTTCCCTTCTTTTTTTTTATTTTTTCTTTTTCGGGTTGTTCATTTGTAGGTAACCGCTGGTTCTTTGTTCGGATTTCACGCGGTGGCGAACATTTCCTGATATGTTCGAAAGGCCGACCTTTGATTTCGAAGTCTCTTGGCGAGCTCATCGTTGCAGGTCGCATTTTGTTCTTACGGATTTGCTGCGACCACCAGAGGAGACGGTTCAGATATTTTTCGGTGTTAATTCTAAATGTCGGATATGTAGAAGTCTAGAGTTTGCCCCTTCCTTTGAATTGCTCGAACTCCTTTCGAGGCCCACCAGGCGTCCCAATACTTTTCCATACCCCGTCCAGTCTAGTTTCTCAAGGACCCTTGGCAACCCACGTGTGCCGCTTCTCGAATCTTCATTTTTTCTTCATCCTGCACCAGCGTTGCAAGGCTTGCTCCCTCCAAAGCCCTTTCTCGGATGGGGGGGGGGGTCTCAATGGACCTTCAACAAGAAGCGGTCGAAAATGGCGCGATCTGAGGCTGCAGCTGCACAAGCAGATGGACCAAGGCTACCGGGAGGCCTCGCAGGAGTGGGCCAAGGCGGAGACTGCGCTCTCGAAGGTGCTGAAGTCCAAGCGCGAGGAGCTTCTTCGAGCCGAAGCGGCCGCGGGGGGCTGGGGGACGTCGCTGGTTCCGAATTTGGTGGTGCTCAAACGGATGGCGAGGCAACCACACAAAAATTGGGAAACGCTGTCATCTTTTTCGTTTGCTCTACATTTTGTAGAGAAGCTTTCTTTTGGTTGGCGGTTGACGGTAGTCCATAAGGCAGCATCGCAGGAAATGAAAACACATGTTGCTGCATTGTCAGATTCCTGTTCATCCACGATTCATTGAAAGGACCATTCTTCTCACCTCAGGAAACTAACCATGATAGGGATCGATTCCAATTTGAGAAACCAGCTGTGCCTATCCCAGCCCGACTCCGTATCTTTCTTCAGCATTGGGTTGGGGAATTGTTTTGCTTGTTTTGTCTGTTGGATTGGTCTTGCAAGTGATCGTGGCAGTAGTCGGATGTAATGCTTAAGGAGTGCTTTTCGCCGGATGGACGAAGGCTTCCCAATGTTCAGCTTTCTTGTCTCAAAGGCAAATTGCAACTTGGGCCGGGCATGCAGCTACTGAATGGCAGCTTACCAAGGTTGGGCAAACAATGTTGAAGCAAGCTGGCACTTGTCCCCTTGGAAGACAAACCCAAGCAAAGTTGTTTGACGTATATTCAAAGCTTGCACATTGTTACAAGGAGGTAGCTCAAGATTATTGTTTTCATGAAGGCGCACGTCTCGTAGGACCAGGACGATTTCCACTTGCCGCCCTGCGACGATGCCAAGCCGCAGTCTGCTGCTAGTTCTCCTGCTTTCTGCGGATTAGATACTTGCCTGCAGTATTCTTTGGGCAGCATGTAAGTTGCAGCTCTTCATACGAATCATTTCCCACTAGGAATCCAGATGTCTTGATACTTTGTCGAGGACAGAACAGTGACCAGCTCTAGGTTGATAGAATTAGTTTCATATGAATCTGGCAATTGTTATATAGACCATTCGCTTTCCAGAGTTTTTGCTGTTCTTGTAAAGACCCAACAAGTTTTCCCATGCAGTCACGCCAAGTGAGATCCTTTCCATGCCTCAAGCCTGTGGGAAGAAGCAAACATGAGCCGGGCATTACCATTTGACGAAAAACCAACGAGCTGAATGAGCAAATGGAGGTTTCCCCGACTTGTGCGGCCCTCAGTTCTGGCTCCCGCACTGGCCTCAGCGAGTTTGCACTGGTGTATCGCTGGATCCCTTCGTGGGCTTCTTCATGTCTCGTCAGCCGTTTGTCAGAATGTCGAGCGAGACATCAAGCAGCCCTGAAGGATTCTGTGCCACGTTCGACAATGCTTTAAACAACTGATCCTTGAAAGGTTGCGACCTTCTGATTCTTCCCCAAGTGCCTCTAAAGAGCTTTTGCAGCCAACCCCAAACCTCCAAGCCAAGGTTCCAACCCCGAACTCCAACCCCAACTCCAAGCCTCCAATACCCTCCAACCCCAACTCCAATACCCTCCAATACCCTCCATCGCCACCTCACCTCCACCTCACCTCCTTGGCTCCAAGCCTCGCCTCGCGCCTCGCCTCCCATCGCCTCTGGCCGCCTCGCGAGGACCCGGAGGAGCGGGCGCGGCGCCTGGAGGCGGTGCGCGCCGGGGCCTCCGCGGAGAAGGCGCGGCAGCTGCGGTTCCGGGCCTCGGAGGCGGGGAAGAAGCTCCAGGACCACGCCAAGCGCCGCCTGCGCCTTGGCTGGGGGGAGGCTGGGTGGAGGCTGGGGGGAGGGGAGGCGGCTGGGGGGAGGCTGGGGGGAGGCGGCTGGTGGGCGGGTGGCGGTTTTTTCCTGGGTTTTGGGGTGTTTTTTGAGGAAGGCGGGCAAGGCAGAGGGGAAGGGAAGTGAAGCTGGGGGTGTCGAGTCTCGCATGTGAGACGACTTTTTTTGGACTATCTAAGGATGTTTTTTGTGGTCGTTTTGGGTCATTTTCCCGGGGTGTAATGCTGGGGTTGAGATGGATAGCCTCAAGCTGTAGACTGGGAACGGCGGCTGAGCAGAGAAGAAGGTTGGGAAGGAAGGGGGGATGGTGCAATGACACACTCTGGAAACAGGGTTCGGGATATTGCTTGCATGGCGCCACATCAGAAGAGGAGGCCTCAACTCTAACTGGGGTTTGTTGGCCCCGTTTTGCTTGCTAGGGTTCTCGAATACGATGTCAACGGGGGTCAACACCAGGGACATTCAGTTTTGTGGAGGTGCAGGGTGGTCTGGGGGAGGTTTGGTCTTGAGCTGGGAAGCCAAATGGAAGGGAGGTGGCGCTTTGCCTTTGTGGAACACTTCATGGCACGGATTCCAAGCAGAGGCGCGTCAAGATCTCGGAGATTCTGCGGGAGGTGCACCGGCGACAGAACTTGAGGCAGGGGACGGGTGAAGGCTGAGCTTCGGACAGATGATCTCAGCCGAATCGTGGGCTATGAGCACAAAGGGCATTCTTGTCGCAGCTGCCTGCCCCTCAGGAAAAATCCAATGCCACTTTTCTTTCTTTTACCCACAGCCACAACAGCGACATTTCAAATCATGATCCCCTTCCAGGCTTTGAATGGGTTTGATTACCATTCTTCCCATTTTCTTCTGGGGGAACCAACTGCTCTTCCTAAGGGGTTGACTTGTTTGACCGCAAAGAATCTCTTTCTTCATCTCGCCAGCGTATGGGTTGATTCCCCACCCACCCAATCATGCGAAAATCTCTTGGACCACAGGTAGGACGGGTGGGTTGGACCAGAGAGGTCGGGTTTTCCCCCCTTCCTCTCGCGCGAGCAGCAGCACCTGGAGGCAGCGCCAGGAGAAGCTGAAGGCCTTCCGCGCCCAGCGGGCGCGCCAGGGCTTGGCCAGCGGCCAGGCCCTGGGGGATGCGGACCACTTCGCGCTGGGCTTAGGGGAGGCCGGGAAAAACTTGGGGGGGGGGGGGGCGGGGAAAGGGCAGGGAAAGGGGCGGGGGAGAGGTGGTGGGTGGCGGTGTTTTTTCGGGGTGGACGGTTGGGGGGTTGCGTTTCAAAGGCAGTGATGTGGACCGGGGCTTGGACATCTTGTGTTTTAGATGGGGAAAAAGCTGAGGCAGGTTGTTTGGGGAGGGTGTTAGGGGGGAGGCAGGGCCGGTTGGGTGAAGAGAGGACGTATGGTTCTGCGACTCCAGGAGTTTGTTTCGCAGACATGCTGCACTGCACTGATTTGCGTCAAGTCCTCACGGTCTTTCTGGCTTGAATTTGGGGGACAATCAAGCTGCAGGGACTGTATTGATAACTGAAACAATCAGCATTCATTTAAGCCAAAATCCATTAGGACGGCGCGGGGTGCTGTCCTTGCAGTTTCCAGTCTTGCATCAGACACAGCTCGGCTCGTTTTCGCGATGATTCTGCTTGTTTTCAGCCTTGGGACCCCCGCTTTTCGGATGTCTTGTTGATCTGTGAAGTATTCGAGAGATCAGAAGGGCTGATCCCTTAAACAATTTGAATCGGGAATTTTGGTCAATGTCACCAACCAAGTTGTCTCATAATATCGGCCTCCGCTCCCCCCCAAACAAGAAGAAGAAGAAGAAGAAGAAAAAGAAAGAAGAAAAAGAAGAAGAAGAAAGAAGAAGAAGAAGAAGAAGAAGAAGAAGAAGAAGAAGAAGAAGAAGAAGAAGAAGAAGAAGAAGAAGAAGAAGAAGAAGAAGAAGAAGAAGAAGAAGAAGAAGAAGAAGAAGAAGAAGAAGAAGAAGAAGAAGAAGAAGAAGAAGAAGAAGAAGAAGAAGAAGAAGAAGAAGAAGAATACACAGAAACAGATAGGCATCGGTGTCCTTTTGGCTTTTCTTTAGGCTTCCCCCCCCCAAAAAAAAAAGCTGTGAACGACACAGGCTTCCTTCCCCCCCAAAAAAAAAGACGGTTCTCTTTCCCCCTTCCCCCCCCTCCCCCCTCCCCCTCTCCCCCCCCCCTCTCCAGCCCAAAGAAGGGAAGCTTCTCCCCTGAAGACAAGGGAGACGCGGCCGCCGTCCGCTTCTTCTGCAGGACCTGGGCCTGGAGGACGCCACGCCGCGGCGGCGCTGCATCTTGGAGTCCTTGGGGCTGGAGGCGGTTATCGGAAGGGGAGGGGACGCTGGGGCAAGGCGTTTTTTGGTTCTCTCGTTTTCTTGCTGTTAGAAGGTTTCCAGGTTTCCGTGTTTTTTTCTTCTTCTTTTTTTTCCTTTCCTTTTTTTTTCTTCTTTCTTTTATATTTTTTTCTCCTGGAGTTGTTTGGTAGCTCTTTCTTTCTTTTTGGGGGCGGAGGGGGACTCCGCCAATGCAAACCGCCAAGTAGGGATTCTTGCCAACCGTGGCCGCAGATGGCCTGTGTTTTCTGAGGGGGACGGCGACCGGACGCCACCACGGCGTTTTCGACGTTCGCCAGGAACTGGACTTGGTGCGCAAGGATCCACGCTGGTACCTTGAGGCGGACCCTGAGATGGAGGACCGGCCAAAAAAAACAGTTTTGTTGAACGGATTGCTTGGTTGCTTTTTGGTTTTGCCCATTTGAAACAAACGGTTGTTGCTTTTGGCCGAGTCCAGTTTGCAGATCCGGGAAGAGCAGGCTTGGGAAAACGGTTCCACTTTTGTGGCTCAGAATCGTCAGCATGAAATGCCTATTTGCCAGTGGAATCCATCCCAACTTCCCTGAAGGGTTGGTTCACCCTAGCGTCAACCAACCGAAGGGACAGCTGATCTCGCTACATGGGCGAGTTTTTCACAAGCGTGAGTAAGCCAGACCATCAAACTTCTAAGTCTGTGTCGTTGCATTTCAGCAAAGGGGGGGCATCAGGCAGAGATAGAAACGACTGCACGTCTAATTCCTAAAATGGTTGGGATACTTTTTTTCATGCTGAGCTTCGGTTGTGACTCAGGTGCGCTCCTGTGAAGGCAAACTTGTCTAGATATGGATGGACCTTGGGTTCTTCGGCAAGGTTTGCATCAGACATAAGGAACCGTCATAACGATGGATGGTTTTTTTTCCTACTTTTTTATTCCCTCCCAATCCAGCGATTTTGTCAGGCACATGAGAGCACTGTGTCGTTCGCGTGTGTGTGTGTGTGTGGGTTTGGATTCAACTGGGTTGAAGCGATACCACAGGGTTTTGTGTTCCTAAGCTCAAGGAGCGTTTTTCGTCACAGCCGGAGAGCCACGCCTACTGACAGGACGCCGGCGGTGGAAACCGTGAGCGTCTGATCGACTTCTTCACGCCGGCGCGCAAGGCGTGGATCGATCCCGTCGCCGGATCGATCCCGTGACCTATTGAATGGACAGTTGTCGGATCGAAGATTCATATTTTCATTTTTTGGGGTTGACTCAATCTGAAATTATGAAACAGAAGCATAGCACAAACCGTGATCCCCGAAGGTTTTGGGCTGAACCCTCTCAGCTGCAAAGAAGTTGACGCTTTAGGCTCCATAAGCCTTAGACGCGGCTGGCTGTTTTTCTTTCCCCAGGACAAGCACGTGTCCATCGAGTGCTACGCGCAGCGACTGCGGCAGCGGCTGGCGGCCGCTTGTGAGGTGGCCTTCCAGGACATCCCGGAGCAGGGTGGCCTCCGAGCCGAAAATTTCCGCAAGACCAAGCCCGAACAGTAGGAAAATGATGTGGCTTCCTTGGGTAGAAAAGCGGCTTGGCTTTCTTTGGTAGATAGAAAATTGGTTTGGCTTCCTTGGGTAGAAAAGCGGCTTGGCTTCCTTTGGTAGATAGAAAATTGATGTGGCTTCCTTGAGTAGAAAAGCGGCTTGGCTTCCTTTGGTAGATAGAAAATTGATGTGGCTTCCTTGGGTAGAAAAGCGGCTTGGCTTCCTTTGGTAGATAGAAAATTGGTTTGGCTTCCTTGGGTAGAAAAGCGGCTTGGCTTCCTTTGGTAGATAGAGAATTGGTTTGGCTTCCTTGGGTACAAAAACGGCTTGGCTTCCTTCGGTAGATAGAAAATTGGTTTGGCTTCCTTGGGTAGAAAAGCGGCTTGGCTTCCTTTGGTAGATAGAAAATTGGTTTGGCTTCCTTGGGTAGAAAAGCGGCTTGGCTTTCTTTGGTAGATAGAAAATTGGTTTGGCTTCCTTGGGTAGAAAAGCGGCTTGGCTTCCTTTGGTAGATAGAAAATTGATGTGGCTTCCTTGAGTAGAAAAGCGGCTTGGCTTCCTTTGGATAGAAAGTTGATGTGGCTTCCTTGGGTAGAAAAGCGGCTTGGCTTCCTTTGGTAGATAGAAAATTGGTTTGGCTTCCTTGGGTAGAAAAGCGGCTTGGCTTCCTTTGGTAGATAGAGAATTGGTTTGGCTTCCTTGGGTACAAAAACGGCTTGGCTTCCTTCGGTAGATAGAAAATTGGTTTGGCTTCCTTGGGTAGAAAAGCGGCTTGGCTTCCTTTGGTAGATAGAAAATTGGTTTGGCTTCCTTTGGTAGAACAACGGTTTGACTTCCTTTGGTAGATAGAAAATTGGTTTGGTTTCCTTGGGTAGAAAAGCGGTTTGACTTCCTTTGGTAGATAGAAAACTGGTTTGGTTGCCTTTGGTAGAAAAACGGTTTGGCTTCCTTGGGTAGATAGAAAATTGGTTTGGCTTCCTTGGGTAGAAAAGCGGTTTGACTTCCTTTGGTAGATAGAAAATTGGTTTGGCTTCCTTTGGTAGAAACACGGTTTGGCTTCCTTTGGTAGATAGAAAATTGGTTTGGCTTCCTTTGGTAGAAACACGGTTTGGCTTCCTTTGGTAGATAGAAAATTGGTTTGGCTTCCTTGGGTAGAAAAGCTGTTTGACTTCCTTTGGTAGATAGAAAATTGGTTTGGCTTCCTTGGGTAGAAAAACGGTTTGGCTTCCTTGGGTAGATAGAAAATTGGTTTGGCTTCCTTTGGTAGAAAAACGGTTTGACTTCCTTTGGTAGATAAACAATTGGTTTGGTTTCCTTGGGTAGAAAAACGGTTTGGCTTCCTTGGGTAGATAGAAAAAAGCGGTTCGACTTCCTTTGGTAGATATAAAATTGATGTGGCTTACTTGGGTAGAAAAGCGGCTTGGCTTCCTTTGGTAGATAGAAAAATCTGTGTGGCTTCCTTGGGTAGAAAAGCGGCTTGACTTCCTTTGGTAGATAGAAAATTGGTTTGGCTTCCTTGGGTAGAAAAGCGGTTTGACTTCCTTTGGTAGATAGAAAATTGGTTTGGTTGCCTTTGGTAGAAAAGCGGTTTGACTTCCTTTGGTAGATAGAAAATTGGTTTGGCTTCCTTGGGTAGAAAAGCGGTTTGACTTCCTTTGGTAGATAGAACATTGGCTTGGCTTCCTTTGGTAGAAAACCGGTTTGGCTTCCTTTGGTAGATAGAAAATTGGTTTGGCTTCCTTTGGTAGAAAATTGGTTTGGCTTCCTTTGGTAGATAGAAAATTGGTTTGGTTTCCTTGGGTAGAAAAACGGTTTGGCTTCCTTTGGTAGATAGACAATTGGTTTGGCTTCCTTGGGTAGAAAAGCGGTTTGACTTCCTTTGGTAGATAGAAAATTGGTTTGGCTTGCTTTGGTAGAAAAACGGTTTGGCTTCCTTTTGTTTTCCTTTGCCAAAAATAAAGCCGCCGTGCCAGAAACTTTGGCGCAACTTCTAGGAACCCCCATTGGGACGTGAAATTCTGTGGGGCCATTTGCCAGCTTGGATTGCAAAACTTGGGGGGGGGGGGGGAATTTTTCAATCCCTCACGCCTTTCATAACCTCTTTTTCCTTGCCATGACTCTCTCCTAACCAGACCCCATTGATCCGTTGGGGTTCGTGAAGTAAAGGCAGGGCGTTGGCAAAACTGCCAGGACACGCAGGACACCGACAGCTGGCAATCCTTGTTAGGCAGGGAGATTCATGCTTTCCTCACAATTTCCCCCCCCCCCCCCCCAACAATCATAGAAGCTGACAGGAGAGTTTTGGAAGACGACTTTTGCTTTGGGAAAGCCCCCTGTCCAAATACAAGCGTGAGTGGAAAGAAAGCACCGATGCCTGCGAGGCTCCTTGGTTGTACGACAACTCTTTGGGGCAGTCAGCCTGGCCATGGAAACTTGCTCTTGCGTGGCAGTGTCAGACAGTGGGCTTTACAGTCATGCGGCAGAATTGAAGCCTAAGCTAAGCCAAGCAGCTTGAGCCGGCACCACTTGGCAGGTCCGCTCTAAATGCGATAGTCAGATGTTTGTTTGATTTTTCGAGGATGTCTCCCATTTTTCAATCACTGCCGCTTGCAACACTTGGGAAGTTTGTAGAGGTGCGGGGTGCTCGTCGTCTGGTTTTGATGCGTTTGATGCGTTTTTTCCAGCCCCGCAGGCAGCTGGCACAGCAAAGGAGAGCTTATGGGTGGATGGGGGTTGAGCCAGGGCTTGGCGCATGCAAGTGAAGGCCCAAGAAGTCGGGCAGGGGGAGTGCATAGTTTGTATGCGTTCCGTCACCGAACATGTCACTGAAGGAACAAACGGGTCAAAGATGCGTGCCCAAAATGGAACAATGGTAAATGGAAATAAGGACCAAATCTGCGGTCTCCTAGTGACTTAATTTTGACCCATAGTCAAATGAGTCAGAGAGGGGATGCAAATTATGTTCATATGGCCATAAATCCCGTACTCCCAGTGAACATCCCAATCCCCATTAAAACAGGTTCTAAAATGGGTGTTGATTTCACCTACCCCAAAATGGGATCCCAAAACGGTTTTGACAACTGGGCAAGTGTTTTGGCACGTGGGCTGGCTCAGCTGTCGAGGAGCCCACCAGAGTGGCATGCACAGCAGCGGGATGTCCACCTGCCTGCCAGGGGATTCCCAGACGCTCCAGCATTGCGTCAACATGGCCGTGTTTGGCCGGGTTGGCGGGGGGTTGGCTTGTCTGGGATCGGCTTTCTTTGCTTTTTTTGGGTTAAGTTTCTCCTGATTTGCGGGCGGCCAAGGCTTGTCTCCGGTTTGGATGGATTCCGTTGGGGGGCCTTGGAGGCTGAGCGCCTGACTCGCAGGTCTGCCAAAGGTCGCCTGGGGTCACTGCAACTGGCAGTCTGGTTCCATCCACTGAATCGGGGCAATTTATTCAGGGCAAAAGATACATTTTGCCCATTTGAAACATGGCTTTTTAAACAGGGAAACCACCATTTGCAAGGCAATGTTCAGGTGTATAATGTAAGGATCCCTGTTATTGGTCAGCTACGCCATGGGGAGTTTTTGGTTTGGCCTAGGATGTCCAGCGTCAGCATCCGGAGGGAGCCGATCAGAGATGACAAAGCCTCGCCCACCATGCAGAAGGTCTGGGAGAAGTACCGCCGGAAGGAGGAGACGTGGGGGTCTCGAGAATTTGCCAGATGAGTTGACCCATTCTCAAAGCTCGTACCGGTACGCGAAGGTTTCAGTCGGAGGCAAAAGGCGTCGCTTCGACATGGTGGACTCTCTTTTTGGTTTATATTTGACTTGCTGGTGTTGGGAATGAGCCGTTTGTCGGGGATTCCCTAATATACAGAACACCACCAGTTGAATGGCTTAAACTGCAAGTACAAACAAGCAGGTTTGCTTCTGGAAGTTTTACCCCTTCTCCTGGCCCAAAAGTTTGGGCAATTCCCGGAAAAAGAGACAACAAAAGAACACAAAACGCAAAAACAAACAATCAAATTCACCACCAGTTGGATGGACTCTTTGGGTCGGAGATGCCGTGTCTCACCTTTTCCGCTTCGACCGGCCCGCCCCCCTCCCCACCCGCATGATGGACACTTAGGGTCTATTTTGCAACCTTCTTCAAAAAGGGTATTGGTTTCTTAGGGTTCCAGGCTGCAAAATCGACTCTAAGTGTCCATGGCACCCCCCCCCCCCGTCCCCCCCCCCCCTGGTCAGGAGCGGGACGCGCAGGTCATGGAGGCCAGGCGCCTGGCGGCGGAGGAGCGGATGGCCAAGAACGCCTTCAAGGCACTTTTTTTCTTTTTTTCTTCCTCTTTCGATATATATATATATATCTATATATGGCGATAAATAAATAAAAATATATATATATATAGAGCGATACATTATTGTTTCATTTAGTATTATTATTATTATTGTTATTATTCATTCTGCGTTTCACAGTCACAAAGCTTTGGCCAAAGTTGTGATTCCCAACTCTGTGACCTGCATCAGAGACGCGGCCTTTAAGGGCTGCGGCTCCCTGACGCAAGTCAACATCCCCGATTCTGTGGTTGGTATTGGCAGAAGGCGCCTTTGCTGGCACAAGCGCGACACAGACTATCATCAAGCATGGCTGTGGGTCAAAAACAGGTACCCAAAATGAAATGGAAACTTGAGCTACAACCAGCTCTTTGGGGGCTTAATTTTTGACCCATACCCACATGTCGACCTTTACACAAGTCAAAAGTCCCCTCTCCAGTAGAAATTCCCAACTCTGTGACGAGCATTGGAGCCTCGACCTTTGCCAACTGCAGCTCCCTGACAGAGGTCAAAACTCCTGACTCCGTGACCAGCGTAGAAGACTCAGCCTTTGCTGGTGCGCCTCTTTGGTTCGTTGAGTGGAAAAAGTGCCTCCGTGATTGACAGGCAAGTCTATATTTTATATGTATGCATATTTGCAAACTAGTCATTTATGAGCGGTTTCCACCTGCAAGGCAGGGTCCCGCTACACAAGGCACTCCTAGCAGGATTATGAATCTTATCGACAGCTTGAGATGTGGTCGGGCTATCAAGCTTGGGGCGGGCCGAAATCCCCCAGGTACCATCGGAGAAAAACGTAAGTCCGGCTATGCATCAGGAGTGACCATAAGTCATAGTTCTACAGCACTTGAACACAGGCACATATTTAATGGCCTGCGGCCTGGTTCCGCCGCCCCCACACACATAGGAATTTCGGCCCGGGACGAGAGAAAGCACGCGATATGTAGACAGACACAGACAGACACAAAGACACGCAGACAGACACGCAGCGGGGGGGGAGGGTCTTCGCGGACACGAAGACAGACGCAGATGCGCAGGCAGACGCAGACAGAGCCAGACAGACACAAATACACAGACAGACACGCGGGGGGGGGGGGATACGAAGAAAGACGCAGATACGTAGACAGACACAGACAGACACAGACAGACACAGACAGACACAAAGAGACAGAGACAGACACGCAAGGGGTCTTCGCGGACACGAAGACAGACGCAGACAGACCCAGACAGACACAAAGAGACACAGACAGACACGCAGGGGCAGGGGGGGTCTTCGCGGACACGAAGACAGATGCAGATACGTAGACAGACATAGACAGACACAGGGGGGGGCGGAGGGGTGGGGGAAGACTACCCGAAGCCTAGGGAAGAAGCCCGAAAGCACAGGACACGCGCGTTGTTTGGTCCCGAAACAGTATCGGAAGACTAGGAGAAGAAGCCGGAAGATTACGGAAGACTACGGGAAGAAGCCGAAAGATTGCGGAAATTTACGGGAAGAAGCTTGAAAGATTTCGGAAGACTACGGGAAGAAGCCGGAAGACTACGGAAGACTACGGAAGACTACGGAAGGGGAAGAAGCCGGAAGACTACGAAAGAGCCGAAAGATTACTGGAACGGAAGACTACGGGAAGAAGCCGGAAGACTACGGAAGATTACGGGAAGAAGCCGAAAGATTACGAAAGATTACTGGAAGAAGCCGGAAGACTACGGAAGACTACGGGAAGAAGCCGGAACACTACGGAAGACTACGGAAGGACTGGGGGGGGGGAGGTGGGGGAGGGGGGGGGAGGGGTGGGGAAATCCAGAATTCCTGAAATCCAGAAATCCAGAGATCCAGAAATCCAGAAATCCAGAAATCCAGCCGACGTAGAAACCAGCCCCAAGGGCCGCCCCAAGGGACATATAGGTTATATATATATATATCTACATAATCATATTCACATTAAACTTATAGAAAGCATATCAACAAAAGCAACACAGAACACACCGCCCCCATGCCGAAAGCATGGTCCATTCTGGACCAGGCATGGGGTCGGCGGATTACCAGGGCCTAAAGCAAAGGCCCCAACGTGAACATGTGCGTGACTGACTGCTCGAAGCCAACGGGTCGATGTAAGGTTGGGGTGAGGATCCTTCCGTGAGACTGGATATCCATGGTTTGTCCGCAGAGACATCAGGGGCCCCCCCTGCCCTCAACCCTAAAAGCCTCTGAGATCCTTGACATGGGGAACCTAGTTTTTTTCCTCTTGTGTGGGCAATTGCACATGTTTGTTGTACACCTGTGTTCCCCTTTTTGCCGATGCAACAATCACCCAAAATTGAGAAGCACCAGGCTTTTGCCTCATCTACGTGTAATGTTGATTCCCTTTGACAGGTGGAGATTTGCCCTGTATTTAGGTATGTCCTTGTTGGCTGATTTCCAAAACGGGCATCTGAAGCCCTCGATTCGAGGGAAATCCGATTGCCGCCAGGTAAGTCAGCAAATCCGCGATTATGCTTCGACACAGTCCAAGTACAAGGAGGGCGACCAAGGTTCAAAGGTTGGAGGGACGGGGTGGGCACGGCCAGTTGGGTTGGTAGGCTCTGCACGCGCAAAAGCATTAAACAAAACAAACCCGCCTGAAGCGGAAATCATTTGCTGGCAACTTGCATGTGCTGGCTTCACATAGTTAAACACATTGTCGTTTGAATAGTTCTTTTCTCTCGGAAACGCACGGGCTGTGGCTTTTTCCCTCTGACTTTCGGACATCCTTAGCCACTCTTCACGTATTTTAGGGACACCCTTTCACATTCCTCCCTTTTGACATTGCCCTTTTGCCACTGAAGCTAGCCGGGACATCCTTACCCACTTCCCCCTAGGTGTCAGTGGCTTGCCCCCTGCGCGCCCCAAGTCATTTTTTGAACCTTTGGGTAGCAGTCCAAGAGGGGTGTCTTGTTGATAAGGGGCCTTGTTCTCCGTCGCCTTTCTTGAGCAGTCTGGCGCCTGCGTTTGTGCAAGCTGGCGACTCACTGACTGAAGTTGGCGATCACAGACAGCAAGGACGATCAGTTGCGCCACCTTGGAAGCAACAGACTCTCTCTCTCTCTCTCTCTCTCTCTCTCTCTCTCTCTCTCTCTCTCTCTCTAAGGCCCTAGTCCTGTGAACTTTAAAAAAAAACAAAAAACAAAAAAAACAAAAAAAACACACATCCAATGATCCAAACAGAATCCCAGGAACATAAGGCTCCGTGGCAGAAGGCTCCCTTTGCGCTTCCGCGGCAGGAGCTGCACCAGCAGCGGCTCCAGGAGGCGGTGGAGCGAAAAGCGGCCCGGGAGGCTGAGGTGCAGGAGAGACTGGCCGTGATGGACGAGTTCAAGCTGCGCCGGATGAGGCTGGCCCGCGCTTTTCGCGAATGTCTTCAGCTTGTTTTGCGCAACAGAAATCTGCGCCGGATTTCGGTGCTTCACTCTGCGCCTTGCTGAAGCGTTTGCCTCGTCACCAATCGAAGCCGCCCGTCGGCGGCGCGCTGCTCTTGCTCCGCAGGCGTGCCTTGACTGTGGCCGATGAGAAGCTGGAGCAGAAACGGGACCGCGTGACCGAGGGCCTGGAGGCGAGGCGAACCCCTTTTGATGGGTGATGAAATGGAGATTCAAAGGAAACAACTTGAAATACTCCAGTTTGGTCCCTACTTTGATATTGGGAAAGGAAGCCACCCGGTTTTGCGTCGTTCCTATTTTCATGAGACCCAACCATTCTCGTTTGCTGGTCTTCAAGTTTCAACATTTCACGAAAGCTAAGCTTTAGCGTGTTGTAGCGGCTGAGCTTCCCACGAGGCCTGGTTTAATCAAGGATTGGGAGGCCATCAGAGAAGATCCCGGCCGGCGGAGACCAAGGGAAAAAGCGATGCTGAAGGAAGCCTGTTAAGCAGGGCAGCTTTGGCCAAAGTTGCTTAAACATATGCGCGGAACAGTCGGGATCGCGGACAACTGAAAGTCTTGGGTTCAGGCAAGGGCCAACTAGTTCTGACACGCTAACCGTGAGGACCCGTTTCGGTTTTTACCCTTGAAAGGCGTTGGCTGCCGCAGTCGTCATCTCCAGTCAATAGTATATTATTAGTATTATACATATATACATATATACATATATGTAAATATATATATATATATATACACGCAAAGATAACCATTATGCATGCATGAATATATATATATATATAGATACACACCCACACACACACACACTCACGCACGCACGCACGCACGCACGCACGCACGCGCGCACGCACGCACGCACGCACGCACGCGCGCACGCGCGCGCGCGTGCACGCGCGCACGCACGCACGCATGCACGCGCACGCACGACACGCCACGCGCACGCTACGCGCACGCGCACGCAGGCGCCGCACGCGCTACGCAGCGCGCAGGCGCACGCCGCGCACGCGCCGCACGCACCGCGCACAGCGCGCGCACGCGCCGCACGCGCGTCGCACGCGCGAGCACGCAACGCGCACGCACGCGCACCGCACGGGCACGCACGCTCACGCGCGCTCACGCACGCTCACGCACGCTCACGCACGCTCACGCACGCTCACGCACGCTCACGCACGCTCACGCACGCTCACGCACGCTCACGCACGCTCACGCACGCTCACGCACGCTCACGCACGCTCACGCTCGCTCACGCACGCTCACGCACGCTCACGCACGCTCACGCACGCTCACGCACGCTCACGCACGCTCACGCACGCTCACGCACGCTCACGCACGCTCACGCACGCTCACGCACGCTCACGCACGCTCACGCACGCGCACGCACGCTCACGCACGCGCACGCACGCGCACGCACGCGAACGCACGCGCACGCACGCGCACGCACGCGCACGCGCACGCACGCGCACGCACGCGCACGCACGCG